CTGAGGTGGTTGCAGCCCCGCACCTCCCGCCCTCCGCAGCTCCTCTGGCGTGCCGGAGCCCGCTGCGCTTTGCCACCTCTTCGGAGAAGGCAGCAGGTCTGAGTCGGGGATGGGGAAAAGTGGATTTAAATCGTCTTCTAAACGTGTTCCTTGCTTTGAGGTGCTGAGGTGGATTTTCTTTTTCCCCAAGAGCAAACGGGCACTGACTCCTCCTGGGCACGACAGAAGCTAGGGAAGTGCAGTGTCTGGCCTGCTGCTGGTGCAGGCACAGCTGCCTTCCCCTGCCTGCTTCTGCTGCCCTTCAGAACCTGCACCGCCCAGCAAGGCCTGGGCGGGAGTCCCTGAAGTCTCAGGGCTGCTGTAGCTCCGATTGGTGCCACAGACCAAAGTGCAGCTTTGTTTCCTGCCCTCCAGAGTGGGTGATGTGCCACAGAAGGGGTGCCAGGGTTTGGATCCTGTGCTTTTCCTGCCAGTGCCTGGATAACAGGAGAGCTCCGTGTGCTTCCATTGCCCGCTCTGGACATGGCAGTAGGACTGGCATTTCCCTGTTGAGGGAAGAAGCTGAGCAGGCAGCCAGGTCTGCTCTGAGCCAAGGCACAAGGACATGAGCCCTGTGGGGAGTGGGAAAGAAGAGACTGGGTTTGGCTCAGGCTCAGCTGTGCTGCCAGGAGAGACTGAGCCCAGAGCTCTTGGCCACAGGCCCCCTTGGACAGCAGAAGGGTCTTTGCCCCTGTTTTTCTAGGCTGGTACCCTTTTCCCTCTTGGACTGGGGCTACAGTGCACCACAGCAGAGGCTCCTGGCAGGACAGGACATTGACACTACTGCTCTGTCCCCACAGGAGATCATTGACCTGACGTGTGAGGACACAAACACAGATGTGACACTGTTGAGCAGCCTCACCATCATCGACCTGACTGAGGACATGTGCAGCCCTCTCCACTCCACCCTCGGTGCTGCCCAGAACCCCAGAAACATTACCCCAGCAGCACACACGTCCAATCCCCAGCTCTGCCTTGCCACAGAAAAAAAAATGCAGGCAGTGGCAGAGCCAAGCCCTGCACCAGCATACCACAGCACTCCTGTGAAGCTCAGTTCCACCATGGGCACAGCAGAAATCATGGAGAACTGCAACTGCCTTTCTCCTGTCTCTAGGCACCACAGCTGGAGCTCAGAGCTGGATTACAGCACTACAACCTTTAACAGCGACTTGGACTCGCAGTCAGACTCAGGCTGCCTGTCCCCATCTCCCCCCAGCCTGGAGAGCAACAGCAGCTGGAGAGCTGATGACCCAGAGGAAGATCCTCCACAGCCCTGCCAGGAAAGGAACCTCCCTCCAAGGCTTAGCCCTGCCCCAACTATTCCTTCAACACCAGGAAAGGCCCAAAGGTCTTTGCCAGCAGCAAGTGACCTCCCACCACACCAACCAATCCAGGAAGCCACCCCAGCCAGGACTGACGCTGACAGCAAGGCCTGGCTGGACAAACTGCACAATTTCAGAAGGAGTGGAGTCCAGCACCTCTTCCTCCAAGGAATAGCACCTAACAGGGAAACACATCAGGTAAACAGGTTTTGGAGCAGCCCCTGCTCCTCTTGTCCTTTGCCAGGCAGTCGGGGGCTCTGGTTGTTGCAGTTCACTTCATAGTGGGCCCCACATCACAGCTGGGTTCCTCTGTGTCAGGGGAGCTTTCACTCACTGTCTTGCCTTGTACACAGCAGAAACATGAGTTCATCTCCAGCGGGAAGCTGAGCATGGTGCACACCACCATGGAAGAGAACATCCTGGAGGGTACCTTGTATTTCCTGAATGAGTTTGTCTCCTGCCAGCACCGTCCCCCCAAAGAAATCATCTCCCACCTGATCAAACAGATGCTGTTGGAGAACCAGGAAGAGGAGAGCCTGAATGACATCTACACACTGCTGATGAAGATCCAAATGTATGTGTTCTCCTTGTCCCAGGGCCCTGGGGCTGGCTAGGTGCTCCCAGGGATCTGCTCAGCATAAGGGTTATTCTCTGTGATGTTCACCCACAGAGCAGGGAGTGATTTCCCCTATAACCCAAGATAGTCCTTCTGAAAACACAGGCATACCCCTGGGCTCTCTGAGGGTGGGTCAGGGACAGCTTGTGACACAGGGGAGCCCTTGGGGTCAGAAGAGTGTATTTGCCTTGCCCTGAAGCACAGGTCTCATTCTTCACTGCTGTGACATGGCAGCAGTGCCAGCATTGGCTGGAGCAGCTCCCTCAGTTCCCTCGGGCTTCCCACAGAGAGGTACAATGTTTTATGAGGCCACAGGCATAGGAATCCTGGGCATCTACGTGGAGTATAGCCCCTGTCAAGTGCTTCCAAAAAATTAATGTGTTATGGGGAAGAGAAGGGGTGAGGGCAGAGATGGAGAGAAGGCAGGGGAGGCACCTGAGCAAGTGGGGCTGGGAGTGGCTGGGGAAGGGCTAAGGGGCTGCTGTGCCTCCAAGCAAATGGTCAGGCAGTTCAGCACAAATGGACATGGCTGTCCTTGCAGGCTCCATCCAGCCAACATCGCCACAGTGGGATGGGACTGGACTCTGGTGCAATTCATCATGGAGGACCAGGTACTTGGTACCATGTGTGTCACACAGAGTAGGGATCATCCAGCACACACTGCCTGAGGGTGAGCGGTGCCTAAGTGCTTCCTGTGGCTCTGCTCTGCTGCAGAGCTGGCCAGTCCAACAGTGAATGCCAGAATCCCACATTTATCCACAGTGCTCCCTTAGCCCTCTGCACAGTTTTAGGCAAGTTGTCCCAGTGAAGAAGGCACAGCAACAGATAAACCCTCTCTGGGGCACAGCACTACTGCAAGGCCCCTCAGGGTCTTGCCTGAGCTAGGCAGCTCCTCCTACAACTACTCCTCCTACATCAGTCCACTCCCAAGACAGCCAGCTTCCCTGGTGTTCCTAAGCCTGTGGCCCCACCAGACTCACATGCTCTCCATCTGCCCCCAGGAAAAGCCCCCTGGCCGGCTCCTCTTCCTGCAGTACGTGGTACAGACCCTAGAGGACGACTTCCAGTACAATCTGAAGTTACAGCAGCTCCAGATGTCAATTGCCAAGAAAGTGCTTTCATGTGACTTGTGCTTCAACAATGTCAAGTAAGGGACACCTGTTCCTTGTTCTCTAACCAGAAGCTGAGAGGCTGGGGCTCAGGGAACACTTGTCTGATACCAGATTTACAGACTTTCCAAGAAGCAGACTTGGGAGACAAAGGGAAGTGTCAGGCCAACTATAGGGGCTAGGAAAAGATTTACAAAAGCAAACCACCAGAGATGATGCAAGGCCTTTCCAGTCACAACAGAGTGGGCTTTTCCCAGGGATGAGGTCAGATTTGCATTGCTCAGGACAGGACTGAGAAGGAGGCAGTCCTGTAGGCAATTGTACAAATCAAGAGAGCTCCTCTGTTGAGTTGCTCAACAGAGCTACAGCCTAACCTGTCCCAAGTAGGTGGAACATACTCTACATTCTCAGGGTGTTTCCTCAAGCTCCAAGTGGATCTAGAGGTCAGAACACAGCAAAACAAGGCACATCCCAAATAAAATTCTTGTTTCTGTCCCAGGGAAGTGGTCAAGTGGTTGGTGGCAGCAGTTACAGGAGTCGGGTTCTCCCAGCCCCGGGAGCAGCTGCAAGAAGCCAGGGCTGAACACAGCTCATCTTCACCAAGGCTGACCAGCACTCAGACAGCTCAGACAGACCAGGCTCAGACAGCTTTCTTTGCCCAAAAGTAAGCTCCAGAATTCCAAACTCCCTGCTGGCATTATCATGGTCCCAAGTCAGGCAGAAGCCAGTCTCTCTCTCGCTGTCAGTTCAGGGAAGCCAGGCTGTACCTGTGACCACCTTTGCTGGTTCTTTGGGTTAAAGACTTGGTAAGCAAAACACTCTCACCTGGTAGGAAACTGGCTGTGTCATCCTTTTGCATGTAGTGTAAGGCTGGAGCTCGTGGCCCATAGCTCAGGCAGCCCCATGCTGCTCCAACACTCAGGAGAGCCACCAAGACCTCCCAAGGGTCAATCTGGGGATGAGCTTTGCTTGCAAAAGCATCAAATTGAGAAGCCACCAGGAGACACCAAACCTGGCCCATTGCATTCCCATGTCCCTCACTGCATGAGGCTGAAATAGGGACCATCCCAAAGAGTTTTGCTTGGCAAGCTGAGGGGCAGAGTCTCCCTGTTTTGATTGTCCCTCTCACCCAGGGCGATGCTCCTGCTCCAGCAGATGTTGTCCATGGCAGTGGAAGTGGACAGATCTCCCACCTGCAGCTCCCGTAAGATCGCAGATGACATATTCCCATTCATACTGAATATCCCCCTGAGGAGCCAAAGGTGAGACAAACATGTGCAAGGCAGCATTTGCCTGTGTCAACAATGGTCTTACCATTAATATCCAAGTCTGGATGTGTGAAGTTATACATGGTATAGAAAGACAGACCAGCCAGCAAGAGCATGGCTGTGTCTCCCATGGAGATACAACATCACCACTGAGCAGGTGAAAACACACCCAGGTGGTGTGGTGCTGAGAACAGTCAATTCTCCCACTTGTTCAAGGTGTGACCTTAAAACTGTCACGAGGGTCTGAAAAGCAGCACTGTGCATCAGCACAGCCAAGCACTGGCAAAGACATCACTGATTCCCATGGACAACCAGGTAGTCAGAAATATGATGCAGTTCCTACAGCTTTGCCTTGACATCCTTTGTTTGCTTCTTGAAGAAATGCAAATCTGAAGCCAAAGCACAAGGGCATGAATGGCTCTAGTGTAAGCAAGAGACCACTAGGCCCCCAAGTGTTTCAAACCCACTTTTCAACGCCCAGCAAGCAGCCCTTCACACCCTTTCAGCAGAACTCTGTACATACACCAGGTATAACCAAGCCAAACTGAGTCTAATCAAGCTGTCACTTTGCCCAGGACAGAGATAGATCTGTCTACCCCTGACCCCACATCACCCTCAAGTTGGCTGGGCTTCCTGCAGGTCAGCAGGAATGAGCCATTGCCACACAGGCTGCTGAGCAGGGTGAAATGAAGCAGCTCAGTTTGCTTTAGAGACTGTACTCAATGCCAGCTGCTGCAGGTCACACCTGAGGATGAAAACACAGCCATAGCCAAGCTGCATAACAGGTCTCTCACCACATCTGGTGGTCTTCCTTCCACAGCATGCTGGGTAGCCCCTGCAGTCACCCCACATCTGCACTAGGTCAGCAGCACAGCAGGAGCATGCTCAAACAGTTGTCTCTGGTCAGGCTGTGCTGTCTCAACCAAAGTAAATTCCTTTTGTGTTGCAGGGAAGCTTTATTAAACACCATGGAGAGCCAGCTCCTGCGCTGCAGACTGCTAGAGCTGTTATTCCAGCACAGTTGTGATGTGCCCACAGCCTCATCCATGTCTCTGGACAAGATCCTGTATTTCCTGAGCCACTCCTATCTGCTGCCACAATTCCAGGTATCCAGGTCAACCTCTCCTTTGACTTGTTTTCCTCTGAGAAAAATAACAACCAGCTACTGTCTCCTTTCCTAGGATGAAACAGCAACATGGCAAAGGTGGGATGAGATGCTGCAGTACTTGAGTTTGCTGCTGCTGAGTTACCAAAGTGTAAAACTGGGTAAGCAGTGCTTGTTCTGGCCTTAACAGTCTCATCAAGTAGAAGAGCCACATTCCCCTTCCTCCTCTCATCACTCTTGGACTCATAGCCACTGAATCTTAGTGTGCCTCCATTCATGATGGTAACTATTCCTAGCAGTCAAAGAAGTGATGTTACATCAATCAGAGCACCCACCTTGATTTGCCAAGTTTAGCCCCTGCAAAATACTTCCTAAAGGAAGGAAGCACTTCCCAGCACTGGAAATTACACAAGAGGGTGCTTTGCACCCACTGTTGTCTAAGTTGCCACACAGTGGGTAGAAGAATAAGGTGGTTTAGGATGAAAAGCAGAAGGCAAAGGGATCATAGAATACCCCACACTGGAAAAGAGACACAAGAATCACAGTTTCATTCCTGGCCCTGCACAGACACCCCATAATCCCACCCTGCGCCTGAGAAAGTTGTCCAAACACTCTGGGAGCTCTGGCAGCCTTGGAGCCATGACTGTTCCCAGTTGTTCAGTGCCCAACCACTCTGTGAGGGAAGACCTTTTCCCTAATAGCCAGTGTAAATCTCCCTTGCACACCTCGTTTGCTCGGGTCCTATCACTGTCCTACAGAAGAGATATGAAAGCTTCCCCTCCTGAGGAAGCTGTAGACCCCACTGAGGTCTGATCTGTCTCCTTGAGGCTGAACACACCAAGTGACCTAAGCCAACCCTCTAGACCCCTCACCATCTCTGAAGTCCTCCTTTGGGCAACCAGGACACTTTCAGCACTTAGTAAACTGTGCAGGGAACACCACCCACAGCTGCCATGGAAACAGAAGTCTCTTCTAACTTCAGGTGCTTCAGCCCATGGTTAAGGCTGTTGAATGAATACAGAGGAATCCCACATCATATATGAGAAGTCTCACTCTCCCTGAAGCTGTAGGCAATCACTGCTGGGCCCTTTGGAGACTCCTCTGCAGCTGCCAATTTTGCCATTCACACAGATGACAAGGGTTATACAAGCCTTGCCCCTTCCCCATTCCCTGGGCTCTCGCTGCATGCAGAATGAGCTCCAGGAGGTGCCAGTTCCTTCTTCCCAAAGTCTTGTGCAGAACCATCAAGGATAACAAGAGGATCAGCCCCTTTTCCTGCACTGCCTGTAGCACACTGGGATCCATCCCAGCAGCTCAGGCAGCCCTTTGGGTGGTGCCTCTCCCCACAGCATTTCCTCTTGCAGAGCACCTGCGGAGTTCTATCAGTGACCGGATGGGTTTGATCGCTCAGAAGGCCAAGCCCAGGCTCCAGGACAGTGATGACATCAGCCAGCTGGACATTCAGCTGAAGATGAACGACTTCATCAGCAGAATGCAGGAGACCCTGGGGCAGCCTTTTCCCCCACAGATCCAGGAGAAATTGTTCATGCTGCAGGAACTGTTCTGCATTGTCACTGCTGCCTGATGGAGACAACCACTGCAGCAAGGAGGACAGAAGTTCATGTTCTCAATATAAAACCCCCCACCTCAGGCTGCAATCTCAGCATCATGGGGGTTGCTTTATACAGTTCTTTTGAAATATGTTTGGTTTACATTGTCTTAGAATTTCTGTTTAAGTTTACCTTGTGCAGTTTTACAAAGCACTTTGTACAGTTTAAAAAAATATATTCCTTTCATGTTTGCTAAGAATCTTTTGTCTTGGTGCTAGCACTGCCCTAAGCAAGTCCAGAGCTCTGTCAGATCACACAAGGCCATGCTTTAACCCCAGCCTTCCCACACTGTGAGATTCACCTGTGTAATCAGGACCACAGCAGCAGCCTGTACCTCAGTGCCTGAATCTGTTCCACGACTTTTAGCTCTGCTTACACTCCAGGAGCACAGGGAACACCAGCATTCAGAGATCAGCCCAGTAAATCATGTGCTCCAGCAGCAGTACTTTAAAGGGCAGCTAAAAACACTACAACAGCACCAAACCATGACTTTCCAGAGGGGAACTGGACACCTCTAGGGAAACATCAGCCTAGTTCCCACACCTCCACAGTATAGGTGGAAACACAGCAGACAAGCAACGAGAGACAAAATCTCAGGAACATGATTGCTCAAGAAAACACAAAGACTTCATGTTTAGTTTTATCTGTACAAGCCCTAAGACACAACTGAGCCTAGCTGTTAACCCAGTCTCCCTGTGAAAGGGCAGTTTGTGGGCAAATATTTCACCCTAGTGAGGTGCTGCCAGGGCCTTATCCACCAGAGCATTGACCCCACACTCACTGGACAGTCCCACATTTCTCCCACAGATGCTCTGTCAACACCAACACACACTGTGGACCTCCATTCCACAAGGATTTTATTGTTCTGTAACAAAAACAAACATACATATTAGGAGATGTGAACACAGTCAACAAATAAATTAATGTCAAATAAGAGCCTGATTGCCAAGGTGCAAATGAGTGGTGACAGAACTGCTGGTTTGCGTAGGGGACTTCCACACATCACTGGCAGTGCTGCTGAAGCTTGAGAAAGCAGTGCTACAAAATGTGCTGCTTCAGAGGGGCCAGCAGCCAGCCAAGGGAGCCAACCCTGTCTCACCCTCCAGGAAGTGTTTGGTTTAAGAAGGCAGAAACCCTGGAGCTCAACACTTACCACCTGTTAAGTAACCTCTGTATAATGCAACAGAGAAGCTTCCAGACACAAGGCTGCTGCTGGCTGAGGGACTCTGCTACACAATCGTGAGATCAAGAGAAGACCTGAGGAGACCCATTTGCCACAGCAGAGGTGAGGATTACAGAGCAATGCTGCCTATCATGCTTAAGGGATTAGATGGTAGCCAGGAGTTCCTTCCACTTTTCCTGAAAGCCAGTGTTAGCTGTTCCCAGGAACTGGTTCAGACTAGGTCAAGGATCACATTCAGCTGTACCTTAGCAGGGAGGAATGTTTAGCCTTGATCTGCCTTCAGTCCACCCCCAGCCCTGCAGAACACATTTAATGCTGATAAAATACCCTGTCTGAGAAGTGTTTCCAGTCTCTAATACATTCTGCACGATTCTAGGGAAAAAAAAAACCAACAAAAACAAATCAAGCAGCATCCAGAGTGCCAGAGCACCTGCAAATCTGCTGTTTAGAATACAGGACAGTGATGTTTTACAGAACAAAGAGAGGACTACTTCATTCAAGCCACACCAACTTTGGTTACTTCCACCTTCTTAGAGCAACATGAAGAGCTGGAAGAAAAGGAATTCCTCCTCATTACTTCCAAGCTCCATTAGATTCTGTTCCCTGCCTTTCCAATCTTAGTATGGTCACTAGTAGTCCCTTTTCCCTTTAAAAAACATCCCAAGAACAAAAAACATGATCACACTGAATAGTGAGGGAGTGCCACATTTATGCTGACCCACCACGTCATCTTCCCTCTGGCAGTTAATGGTCCAGCTGTCAGTCCTTGCTTGTTCACATCACTTTCTGCTCCATCTCTTGACAAAACCAGTCCTCCTGTGGGTCCTTCAGCACTGAGCAGGACAAGACAAACAGATTTCAGGCATACAAGCCAGGTGCTCACACACCACATGGAATCCTGTCCCAAAAAAAGCATGGCTCAGGGTTTCACTGTGGCGTGGTGTACTGGGAAGCACATCCAGAGCAGCCTGGCAGCCCAGTACAGTGCAGCAGACAAGATGGTTTACATTGGTTTAGGACAGGTGCAGGAGTTCTTCCAAGACTAGGTTTAGCAGGACAATCACAACTGTTTCTTCTTCTGAGATGAAGTGCTGGAAAGGGAGACTTTCCTACTTTAGTGCAGCACATGGGACAGGGAAGCAGAGCCTAAGACACTCTGTAGCCTGCTAAAGACACTGGAAACTTTCCTCTAGAACCCAGTGGGAGTGAGCACGTTCAGATCCCGAGGTTTGATGTTGTGGGAACGTGGAGATTGTTTCCTCCCATCTGTGCCTGGAATGTCCATTTTAGGTGGCTTGAAGGTGACTGGATCTTCTGTCATCCTTGTAGCCTGAGCACGCATCAGCTCCATTGGGGATGGCTTCTGGGCACCCTTATAGGACTGAATGGTAAATCCTCCTGACAAAAAAATAAATCACAGTAAAAACCAGGAAAACCAGTCAAATCCATTTCCTATTGCTGCCAGCAGTGTCTGACACTGAGCACCACAGACAGCCTATGCAAATTCCAGCAACTTCTTATCATCTGAAACCTATTTCACATCAGGGGCTGGTACTTCCAGAGTCCTGGCTGCGTCACATATCAGAAAAAGGGTAAAAAGCTGTTACCTTCACACCCTGCCCCTACCACTGCAGCTCACTGCAAGTTATTGCTACCTCCAGATCCTTGGCACAGGTTTTACCCAACTGCTCTATATTTAGGCACAGAAATCATATGACTAACACACATTCCCAAGGTGGTCCTGGAGAGTAACAAGGCAAGCAGGGTAAGACTCCAGAAAGAGCCAGCAAGTCTGCTCTGTGACAGTTCCCCTCTTGCTCTTGGCAAGGCAGATTTTCAGTGACTTACCTGCATCACTGGCTGATTTCTGGACAGCTCTAGGTCCAAAAAAGCTCCATCTTTCAGATGGCAATCTCTCCCCACCACCATCCATAGCAAAGTCTGAGCCAGTGATAGAAGTAGAGGACCCCTGACTAAACCAGCCCCTAAGGGAAAAAAAAAATTGAGATGTTTAAAACATGAGAGTAAATACTTCAAGTGACCCCACTACGCCAGGAATTTTTCATGTAGTTAAAAGGGGCAATTTAAGAAATCTTAATAGGTTTGTTACCACCCAGGATAAGATATGCATGCTCAAGTTCCACAGGCTTCCAATATTTGAATCTATCCAAACAAATCCTCATCAGGCTCTAAATTTCACCCTCACAATTTATGAAGGTTATTTATAGCAGCTCCCACCTCAGGAGCCTTAGGAAAGCAAAGAAGGCAGAGTACCTGTTTTTATGCCTGGGGGAGGAGTGGGGAGTGCTGCTTGGAGTGGACTGAGCAGAAGAATTCTGTTTGTCATCTTTTGTTGTCTCTCCATTCTGCATTTTTAGGGTCTGTCAGGAGAGGCAAGAGAAACAGAAGCAACAATGGACATAAGGAACAATACCCAGTTTTACTGTCCAAACCAGACAATTGTTTCTATCACAGGTGATAAAAAATAAAGTGTCATCACACCTAAAGCTGTATCCAGTATTACAGTATCTGCATACACCTCCTGAAGTTTCTCTCCACATCAAACACAAGAGTTTTGAAAGTTCACTTCAGGCTACAGGAAGGAACACCAGAACTCATAGTGAGGTTGTGGACACAGCAGAGCTCACTTCAGCTACCTGGTAACTGGCCTAAATGCCATAACACCCATTTGTTTCCAACACTTTTCAGAGCAACCAAGCTTTCAGTCCCACCAATGCTCTGAAGAGGGTGAGACCAGTTCTCACAGAAGGTACAAGGGCAGGAATACCAGATCCTGTGAAGAAATGAGTGTGCATCAGGATGGAATCACTGCTCTGGAACAGAGATGAACCTGGGCTCAAAATAAACAGGAACTGGGTGTATGCAAACCGATGTTATTACAAAGTGGACAGTACAAGCTGAACTTTGAAGAAGTCAGTTGAAGGGCAGTTACAGTTCAAACACAAAATACACAGGGTACCTTGTAATGTTTCCTGTGGCTATTCAAGCGTCACTAATGCAATTCATCAACGCACTTACTCAAACTTCGGCCTCGTGGGAGGACCCTGGAAGAACTGACTATTAAACTTCAACTGCAAAATTTTCTTAAGAGCTTGGTAGCCCACAGTTATGTGCTCATTCAAGATTTTTGGTTTCAGTAAGACACATCTGGTAACTTCCACAATGGAAATGCACAGTTTGCAAGTGCTCTTTGGACACACAGTTGCAGAAATCAACTGCAGGGCACCAATCAAAAGCACAGCAAGAAGTTAGATTGCATAGGGTTGTCCCCACTTGGATATGACAGTGAAATGTAACTGATTTCAGAAAAAAAGCTGCTTCAAAACTACAAAGGCTAATGTTAACTTTAAAATAAAAGTTGGTAAACTTTACTACACAATGAGCTAAAAGCCTTCAGATGAAGCAGCTTAAGGAAAGTCTTGGCAACACGCTCCAAAAGTAACGTCACCAGGTAAATGTTAAACCAGACACGTAGAGAAATGCAATGGAAAACAAGCCTTACGTGGACTGCCTCAGCCACTCGGTGGTACTTGGTCTCCTCAGTGGTGAGGCCTTTGTGGGGTGTGTAGCCAGCTTCCCTCAGCCCTGCCTGCTGCTCGAAGCGCTGGATGCTCTCCTGAGTCTGCTCTGGAATACACAAGAGCACAAATTCATACAGAAATGCCACCACAAGCAGTTCTATCAAAGGCAGCTCCAACAACTGAATTCAAACCCTTTTTTCATCATTCACACCTACTAACAAGCTGAGGCAGAAAGATGAAGCTGGGGAGATATTCTGACTTGACAAAATACCCTAAGACACAGGGCTAAGTCAGATGAGCAACGATTTGTCTCAAATCACCAGAAAAATCACAAATGTAACACCTGTAATTAATCCCATCTCACCTCAGACACTGCATCACTCCTACTCACAACTTCATAAATCTAAGAGAACCCAATAAGTTGGGCACTTTAAGTGGCCCATTGGATTCAAAGGAGCTTTGCAGATCATGTTTAAAAGACTCACAGTGATTTTAGATCAGGTAAAATAAGCTACTTCAGCTAGAGCCAGTATCTAATACATTGATGTCAACATCACTTCTGAAAAACAAACACTTTCTCCAAACCCCAGCCTAAGATGTTCACTCCCTAGTGGAACAAGGAGAGAAGTCAAAAGGAATCAGAGCACAAAAACTCCAGTGGAAAAGCCCATTGTCTTCTTTAGAACAGATAACACTTCTCATCTTAAAGTTATTTTCAGATCCCTGTTATTTGTAGTTGCTGAAAGAAGAGGCAGCATGAACAGATTAACACAGAAATAATTCCTCTTACTGCAAAAGGGCACATCTTCTCTGCAAACATAACTGACTCAATTTTATTTTAAAGCATCATGATTTATGTTTGAAGTGCTGCAGTTAGCAAGGCAGCTCCTGCTATTAACAACAGAAATGCCAGCAAGTGCTCCATTAGCACAGCGTGTCAGCTCTCCTCTCTTCTTGGGTTAATGGTAGAGCTCTGCCTGTCATTCAGAAAATGCAAGTTAATAAGCAAACAGAGCAGCAACCTCTTCACTCCAGGAACATGTACTGCAGTGTCCTGTCAGCAAACAACAAACTCTGCACTCCTCCCCCTGCCCTGAAAACACAGAAGCACCACATGTGGCCTATTCCCCAGTTCCTTGCTTCCTTCTAGAAACATCCTCTGAAAAAAACAAATCCACACAGCACCAGAGCAGAACCAGCCTGAACCCAAGTGTTCTCCAGGAATTACCCTGAGGCTGACCCCAGCTGGAGCACCCTCAGTACCCAACCCACACATGAGAGTGTGAGAGGTGAGTTCTTACTTGTGATGAGGGAATTCATGATGATGTGAGTGGCCTTGGCCTTCACCACAGGCACCTTGTTCACACTTTCTGTGGATGATGAAGGAGTTATGACAGGTTTCATGTTGGCATCCCCTTCCTCATCCTGTGGGGAAGCAGCAGAGGACAGTTTGAGATGGGAAGGTATCTCAGCACCTGGCCAGGACACATCTCTAACTACACAAGTGAGAAAAGGCCATGCTGCTCTGGCAGCCAACCTTCATCCCATGGGAGAAATCCCTCCACTTTGCTCACTGCACTTCTCAATGTTCAGAACCTTAGAATTCATAGCAATGAACAACCAACTTGCATAAAACATTTGAAAACCTGCCAGGCTCAGAGCAAACAAGCTGTTAGTCCAAGTACAAAAAGGTCAACAGTAAAGAAACCAGAACATCTGCTCTCCTAAATGCAAACTGGACTTCAAGGTCAACTGGACAAAAGCACCAAGAGAACCTTCCACAGGCAGCTCAAGCACCAGCTGTTCACAGAATGGCAGCCACAGAACAGAGCCTGGAGCGAACAAC